GTCATAACAGACAATCAGAGATTAATATTTGAAAAATAGTCAGATGATACCATAGAGCCTTTTGGCACAAAGATGCCATTCTGAGAAATGGGTCGTTGGAGGTACAGATGCTTGAGTGAGCATTATCTTTAGAGGTGCCACTTCAGAAGCAGACGACGCTTGGATGTGATGTTCTACCAGCAGGAAGAGTAACATCTTCTAGAGCACAATGGCCTGTAGCCCCAGTAGCCACAGCCGGAGCCATAGCCACAGCCGTATCCGGTTCCATATCCACAGCCATAGCCGGTTCCATATCCACAGCCATATCCAGTTCCATATCCACAGCCATATCTAGTGCCATAACCACAGCCATTATAAGGGCCAAATCCACAGCCATAGCCGTATCCACAGCCATAGCCACAGGAGTTGCCGTAGTAGCTGCCACACATGGTGTCAAGAGAAGAGAACTCAGGTGGATTGCAAGAGGATGTTCTGAAGTGTCTGTGTCTTCTGCTTGCCTTGGACCTTTACATACTGTCAGTAATTGGCAGAACATACCATTCCTCCCCTGACTTAGCCAACAAATATTTAAACGACTACATATTATGTGCCAGTCACTGTTGACAATCAATAATGCTTTGCTTAAAATGAGCTCATTATATGGGCACTCTGCTTTTATTTAAAGAGCATCATTTGAATTTACTCTGCCAAAGAATTTTCTCAATAGACTCATGTGCCCCAAAGTAAAACTAACACTCAATTTTAAAACCACTTGTTTCTAAATAAATACATTATATAACAAGGTTTTGGGGGCATTGAAGGAAAATGCTGCCTTCTTTTCTCTCTACTCTTTCCTATGATGTCTACCTCTGCCCATAAGGAGAAAAATAACTCCCATCTCCTTTCTTGAATCACTGCAATTTTTTGTCAGTCTTCTAATACCTGGATACTTAATGCCAGGTACCTACTAGCATCTTGTGATAGTAATAAGGAATGCTCCTCATTCTGCAGAGCACAGAACAGCACCGAACAACAAAAAACATGTGGTCCAAATGTCATTGTGCTGAGACCTAGAAATCTTGGTTTATAGCTATGCAATATAAATGGGCTTCTTTATCTGTAGGTGGCTAAATCCAAACATACCTTTCTTTTTACTCTATACCAAACATCTGAACATTTCATCACCAAACGTGCACTCACAAAATAATGGGATTTTTATTTGATGGTATGAAAGAAAGATTTTTTTGTTTATCTTGCTTATCTTGGTTTTCCTTAAATCACTAGGAAAATGCTGCCTTCTTTTCTCTGTGCTCTTTCCTATGATGTCTAACTCTGCCCAAAAGGAGAAAAATAACTCCCATCACCTTTCCTGAATCACTGCAATTTTTTGTGAGGCTTCTAATACCTGGATTCTTACGGCCAGGGACCTACTAGCATCTTGTGATAGAAACCAGGAATGCTTCTCATTCTACAGGGCACAGAACAGCACCCTACAACAAAAAAACATGTGGTCCAAATGTCATTGTGCTGAGACCTAGAAATCTTGGTTTACAGCTATGCATCTATAAATGAGCTTCTTTATCTGTAGGTGTCTAAATCCAAACATACCTTTCTTCTTGCTCTATACCAAACATCTGAACTTTTCATCACCAAATGTGCACTCACAAAATAATGGGATTTTTATTTGA